TCTCTGTCTCTGTCTCTGTCTCTGTCTCTGTCTCTGTCTCTGTCTCTCTGTCTGTCTGTCTGTCTGTCTGTCTGTCTGTCTGTTTGTGTGTGTGTGCTTGTGTGTGCGTGAATGTTACTGTACACTGTATAAAGTGGGATAGCTAGACAAACAATGCAAAGCGATGAAATGCTATATATATATATACACATGCAAAACTAACTTCGTCCACACATCTGAGGCCCACGACCAACGTCTGGGCGGCCGCTTCTTTGCAAGAACGTTGATCTGCCAGGTGATGTCGGACAAGATGTGTCTTCGTAAACATCAATGTTTGGCACGGTGACAAATATACATCGGCAAACTGTTGACGCGCATCATTTTTCATCCCCTTGTCTGCACGTGCGCTCCCACATCTCACACCGTTCTACAAGACTTGAGTGGCGGCTCTCGGGGCAGCGCTTGTGCCTCAACTTTGCAAAGCAGGATGGCTTGTGTGAATATAATATATATATATATATAGTAAGTTATATATATATATATATGCGTCTTGTGTGTGTCACATAGTCCCTCTGATAACCATGAACCGGTCAGGTGGTGGTTTGGCATATTTCGGAATCAGAACAAGTGAATATATGCAAAGTGTAGGGAAACAGTATCTGGTCTGACCTCTCCTCGCCGAGCCACATCATTGTCAGCCCCAAGTGGCTCGCCACACCACCAGCAATGCTGCCGTAAGGAGGGCCACGTCAGCCGACGATCACTTGGCTGCAGAAGTCCCAGGGCAAGGTCCTGAAGCCAAATAGACCAGACGATTTGCAAAAGGTTTATGAAGGGCAGATGCAAAAGACTATATATATATATATACTGATTTACGAATTGATGGCACGTCCAAACTCGAGCTTGACAAATGCCATCAATGGGCTCGGTGTGTCATGCCTATATACACCATGATTCATGTCTCAGATTTCCGTATATATGATGGCACACACCCCAAAAAAAAAAACACACATCTGAGTGTATATGATGGCTCCTCACAATGTGCGATCTATACGGTCAGAATCCCTTTCATATGCTGTTCCATAGGCAAAAGTAGCATATGGAGCACTTTTACTTGTGCCATCTTTTTGTAAATGAGTATATATACATTAGTCAAGTCTGGACCAATATTCTAGCAGCTTTGGAGGCCACAGTATTCACTCTTCGTTGAGCGCTCTGCAGTGCAAGTCTTGCGCGTTGTTGTTAAGGTGTCTCAACAAGCCTCCTAATCCCTTATGTGCTCCTGAAACTCCGGTGTTGCACCTGGCATCTTCGGAGGGGCTGTGTCCACCACCAAGCGCTGTAGCTGCTGTGAGGATGGCGATATGAAAGGCTGCGCGCCAGAGAAGAGCTCGTGAAGAACACAACCCAAGGACCACAGGTCGGAGACAAACGAATGGACGCCCGCCTGCGAAATGGAAATGGTTCATATATTTTTTTTATTTGTTTATTTATGTGTAAATAAAACTGTATATATATATAAGTTTAAAAGCTTGAAAAGGAATACAACGGGTGAAAGCTTCAGCTCTCAATGCCGTGCCTCCGAGAAAAGCTCTGGGGCCATGTACTGAGGCGTGCCCCGGCGCAAGGGCTGGCCAGTCCTGTTTGGGAAGGCCTCTTCCACGCGCAAGGCTTGAGCAAAATGACCAAGCTTCAAGACCTCATCTTCGTTGAAGAGAATGTTTCCAGGCTTCAGGTCACAGAAAATGATGCCACCTCGGCTCTTTCAGGAAATTCTTGAATGCACCCACATGAAGAACTCAAAAGAGCAAAGGAAAATGAAAAGGATTGCTTTCTAAGATGGATCGTCACAACCGAGAGGCGCGAATGCACATACAGTAAGCCAGCACAAATCTGATGACCAAAAACTCGCACCTTCGCAACAGCATTGGCAATGGCATTCGCAAAAATTGACGCAAAAGAATGGTGCACATCAACGGGTGGGAAAGCTAGACAGGAAAGCTCCAGTCTGCTGGCCGCACATTAGTATGTAATATGTTTAATCTCTTACACAAGCGTAGCATCTCTTCACACACAGCCGATGCCCAGCCGTGTTCAAAGCTAGTCTTGGGAATGCCTGAAATGCGTTGACACGCCCTCACCCACCACACCCTCGCAAAAAACACAGAGACAAACCGCAACCCAATGCTCACGACGAGCCACTCGCTCTTCTGGAAGTCGACCATCTTGTTTCAATAGACGCAAAAGATCACCACCAGCGCAGTATTCAAAAATCACCCACAGGTGGTTCCGCGTCTCGTAGCAGTTCACATATTCAATCACGTTCCTGGTGCATGATGCACTCTGAGTTTCTTGAATGCTCTCACACCCTGGTTTAGCCATGGCCCGCCCGGTCAGCATGATGCAAGCTAAGACTCTGATGCCGCAAACTGGACAGAATGTCCACCTCGGTCATGACTTTCTCCCGTCTGCACTTCTCAACACTTTTCACGGCCACGAATTGGATCGTGAACTTTTGTCTTCCCTTGTAAACCTCAGCGTGTTCAGAAACACATGGTGACAGGAGGAGCCTCAAAACCTGAAGGCAAAGGAATTATAGGACCGGATAACCCCACATGTGAACAACTTCGAAAGATTGAGGCTGCAGGGGTAAAGTGCGGAAGAGTGAGCGTGGGGAAGAGACAGGCGAGACAGATATAAGGCGTGAGGGTCTCTGTGTGTACGTGAGGTGTGTGTTTGTGTGTATGCGCTTGTTCGTCAGTGTGTATCAGTGTGTGGGTGGATGTATGCTGCTTGGCGCTTGTGCTAAAGTTGTACTAGAAAGTCGCCAGTTCTCATCTTCCAGCTCCCCAGAAACTCCGCGTACTAAAGTTGCACTACAAAGTCGTCAGTTCTCAGCTTATTGCTCCGCGTACTAAAGTTGTACTACAAAGTCGCCAGTTCTCATCTTCCAGCTCCACAGATTGCTCCGCGTACTAAAGTTGTACTACAAAGTCGCCAGTTCTCATCTTCCAGCTCCGCAGATACTCCGCGTACTTAAAGTTGTACTACAAAGTCGCCAGTTCTCATCTTCCAGCTCCGCAGATTCTCCGCGTACTAAAGTTGTACTACAAAGTCGCCAGTTCTCAGCTTCCAGCTCCACAGATGCTGCGTGCCTGGCACGAAATCTGCGCATGGAGGTTCACACAGTGCTGCGCCTGCCACGAAATCTGCACATGGAGGTTCACAAAGTGCTGCGCCTACCACGAGATCTGCACACGGAGGTTCACAAAGTACTGCGCCTGCCACGAAATCTGCGCATGAAGGTTCACAAAGCGCTGCGCCTGCCACGAAATCTGCACATCAAGCGCCGGTGCCCAGCCG